CCTGGTTACAGCCTTCCTGTGCTCAGGTTCACTTTCATCCTTTTTGGGGAGAGTTCTTGGGCAGATAAATGCTGCAGAATCAGGACCTTTCATTTGTAGTTATGTGTAGTAGCTTGGACATGGTGTGTTCCAGTTTAGTAAAAGCATTTTTCTTTTGCTTTGTTGATTGATTTATTGTGGAGGACTGCAATAGTTGTTACAACACATAAAGTGAGAGTGGAGAGCGCTTTCCTTCCCTGGAGTTGGTGGCTGTGGAGTATGAAGCTGAGATGAACCATATTTATTCTTGCCTTGTGCTTCAGGCTGACTCTCCAGCACTAATTAGTAAAAGCAGGATGGTGCTAACGGAGCTATCACCTCTTACCTCGTAGTGATCAAGGGGGTTGTGTAGGATGCTTTCTTTTGAACGTTGCAACGGGAGCTCTGCAAAGAAGCTGATGCCGAGCCAGCTTTGCGTGGCTGGTTGGTACCCAAGACTTGGAATAGACATCGATGTCCTGGCGCATAAACACCCACTTCAGATACCGCGCTGTGTGTACTGGCCGCTTCAGTTCATCCTCTCGCTCAAGTTCAGTAGACCTTTACTCACCACAGAGCTATGACTTTTACTGAAACAACACCTCTGTTTCCTGCTGTTCTTCAGTGAAGAAATAAAACTCTATAAAAACCTTTCTTTTTTTTTTTCTGAAAGCTCTGGGAGGTTTTGTCATAGTAGTTTTTTCTCCTTCCCCCCTCAAGAAAATTGAGGGGAGATGAAGATGATGTAAAGGAAAGACTGCCATGGAAACCAACTAGCGTTTTCAATCAGCACTGCCATTTTTAGAAACAAGGCCATGTGCTGAACAAATCCGGAGCAATCTGGTCCCTCCAAACTGGTTTTGGTGAGAGACTGGTGGTAGGAAGATGCGTAAATGTCTAATAGTTATTCTTGCTTGGTGTTAACCTTGGGGAAGGGTAAATTTCCACCCTCAAAAGTCCCACTTGAATTCAGTAGCCTGGGTACACGCTGACCTGTCTCATCTTGTATTGTGTCTGTTCCTGTATATGGTACTTCCTCAGGGGTTTTATAGTAGTATTGTGGAAAACCAGTTTACCAGTTATGGGATTACTGGAGCTTGGTGGGATTCCACCCTTTCTCCTCTTCTTGTGCATCCCACTGTAAGTCCTTGGCAGCAGGAGGAGGACCGTGGGTTTTGCAGAGGTTCAGTCTTCTTCCCTACTGAGGATGCCAGGATGGAACCTTTATCCCATCGTGTTTACTGGACTCTTTTCTTCAATTTTACGTGTATTTTCAAATTGCGTTATGTTTCTGGATGTGTGGGAGACGGGTTGACGTGTTTTCTGATAAATGCAGTGAGGCTGTTTAGAAGATCCTTTCATATTATGCACTGGAGTTGTTGGATATGAATTATTTATGACTAAGGTTTTGTGTGCTGGAGAGCACAAAGCTGAAGTTTTCCAAATGGTGTCTATAAATATAAAGGCCAAAAATTTGAAACTTGGATGCTTAAAGCTGGACACTGTGATGCGTAAGAGCTCTTGGGTTCCCAGGGAGTTTAGCAGCAACGCTTGAGAATTGCAAAAGTGATGGGGGTCCTTCAGGGGTCCTCCCGATACCCACTGAGCAAATGGCCGTGACGATTTGGAAGTGGAACGACCATCGGTCAGGGAGCGGGACAGACAGACAGGCATTCCCCCAAAATGGCTTAGAGCAAACATTTTAGCGGTACCTACCTGCCTCGCATTCAGTGTGCCTGTTACACAGTCCTGAAGTTCTCAAATACTGCCCCAACTGCTAATAATGTTAGCGTAGTCTTCAGCAGGCTTTGGTAGGAGAACATCTTAGCTCGGGGGAGACTGGGGCAGCGGTGTTGCTCAAAAGCCTTCTGCTGAATTGTAAGAGGACGGAGGATCCTGATAAAGTCAATTGACTGCGTTCTGGATCGAGTCCTAATTTGTTTACCCAGTTCTGGACCAAAGCGGATTGATGCAGCAGTGACATTAAGCTGTGCAAATTGGACTAAATAATTTGCATCAACAGATTTGCTATGCAATTACAAGTGAGAAGCAACTGCTGATGCTGGCTAGCTAATTTTCAGATGTAAATAACTCAACTGTTTCAAAATGATTTTTAAAATTAGATTACTGTGACAGAAAGCACAAAAGATGACAAATCTCATTTGGAGTGTTTTGTTTGTATTTTGAGAGGAGGGGAACCCAGGGTGACATCTTGCCTGCCGGATTAAGGATCAAACAGGTACAAGTTAGAGGTGAGCTTTAATGTAGCAATGTATCCGTGGTTTGAATGGAAAGTAGATGCTGTTTATTTTGGAAAGTAGATGCTGTTTATTTTGGAGCAATATGGTTTCTAAAATGGCAGTAAGTTTCTTTTTTGCTTATCTATCTATTCACTGAGGGTTCTTTCCTGGTGTTAGTACCTCATCTAAAGATTCTGGCTTGCCCAGGATCACCATTCTGCCCTTTTTGCTCAGCTGTGAGACTTTGAGGGAGTGTTGTTCTGCAGCAGAGTCCAAAGAGCTCGTATCTAATTGGAAAAGCAACCAAAGTTAATTACTGTATTGCATCTCATTGTAGTCCATTTAAATGGATACAAGCCGCTGGAAATGGGAGAGACAGATATCTCCTTCCAGCACGATTTGGACATAACTCAACTGGGAAGAAGAGGATAATACAGCTTTTTCAAAGAGAGATGCTGGCATTTAAGTCTCCTGGAGGTGTGAGTTTTGCCTACGCTGCTTTGAGTCAGATCCAGGGTAGTCGCTACCCACTGCTGCAAACTGGCTTGAAGCCCACGTTTTTCTGTCAGATTTGTTTATCCATTTTTATATCCCACCAGCTTCTACTGCTGATGGAGAAGAAAAATTATTTCTCTTCCTACGGAAATTCTGTTCCTTAGAAAATTAAGGCAAGCACATCCAGCTTTGCCTAAAAGCAGCTTACAGGAATGGCACATTTATTACTGTAATTAGTTATTTTCTTATGTAAAAGACCTGTAAGGTTTATTAAATTGGTGATCCTCTTAATGTTCAAATTCACAATGAGACTCTCAAGTGTCCTATTACAGACTGAAGTAATTGTGTGCTTAGAAACAGTCAGTCAGCCAAGAATAGGTTTATTTAAGGATATAAATATTGTCCTTGTTTTTTCTTCAGTGAGTGGGTGTGCATGTTCTGTACAGCTGTGGGACAGCGGAGTTAAAGCATCGCTTATGTTCAGGGCTGTGAAAGGCGCCAGCGTGAGAGCGAGCGTCCTGGCTTCAAATGTATTCAGTAATGTTGAAAGCTTGCTTGTAACAGCAGCAGCATCCCTTTTCCAAGGGCAGTACTGGAAATAAGGGGAATTTGGGTGCAGAGAACGTGCTCTGCTCAAGTCCTGCTTAGCCATGGTGGTGTTGGTTGCATGAATGCAATGGTCTACGATGAACGTCTGCACCTGAGCCCTGGGTCAAGGGAGAAATAGATGCTCCTGCAGCGTGGTTGCTTTTGTCCTAATCTGGTGGCCTGAAGTAGGTGAGCCCATCCCAGAGTGCCTGCTTATCTCTGGTGGCTATAAAAGTAGCCTCAGGTGGTTAACACGGCTGTAGCTGGGTACCTCGTGCACTCCCTCTAGCTCGGTTGCTGTTCGTTAATGAATATAGGCATGGTGAATGGCTTTGACTTACTCTCTGAGGCTCTTCGTGACGTGGTGAAGCACATGGAAATCTGACCCATGTCGAGCTAAAATGAGGCCTTCAGGGAGGGGGGTAAGAACGATTCCCTCATTGTTCGTCCCGTAGGTGGGCTGCTAGCTTGAATTGTAATTGTGTGACTGTAAATTTGGGGGCGAGGACCAAGTTCCCATGTTTCACATTGCAGTCTACAGCTGTATTCTGCAGGATGGAACAGCTTTGGGACAGACCGTCTCTGTTCAGAGATCTTTTGGTGGACCAGCTCAGAAGCATTGGTACTGATCTTCTGGATCAGGGAACTCAGCTGTTTACTCCTGTCATTAGAAAATAGATTTTTTTTTTTTTTTTTTTGTTCCAGTCCTGTAGGAGAGGGAATTCTGAAGTGCCTCTCTTCCTCCTGCTTGAGCATTCACTATTTTGGACATTATTCATGTTTTGTAGTGCGTTGCATAAAGCAGAGAAAAGCTCATTCGACTGGTCTCACCCGCAGCACCAAAGAGCTGTCTCTGGCCAACACTGTGGTTTTCTCCTCCTGCTCTGTGAGGTCTGTGCGGATCTTCTCGTTTGATCGCTGCTGCCTTCATCAAAGCCTCACCTAAACCCCCTCATTCCTCTAGAGCTTAGGGTACGGCGCAGCAAGAGACACTCGTGGTGCAGAGTGATGGTGAACGCTCCCCCAGCAGAGCTCACGGCTTATGAAAAAGCAGCTGGAGGCAGGAGAGGAGGACGGTGTGTGACAGAACAAAGGAAAAGAGGGAGTTTTGAGTTCTGGCCTCGCTAAAGTAAATTAATTTTAGTGATTAAAGAATTTTAATATGTTCATGCACTTACACCCATAGCTTCAAACATGGTTTTTAAAAGCTCGCCTCCCACATATAAGCAGCTCTGTCATTAACTTGATTTTCCGCTGTACGAGCTATCCAGCTGCTTCCAGTGCCTCTGCCTGACTCTGAGTGCACAGATGTTTGGGAAATCAGGTACTTAATGAGGAGTCTGTCTGTGTGTGGAGTTCAGGAGTGGATGTTAGTCTCCTGCCTCTGAAAATCTTCTCTTTAGAAAGCAGAAGTAGTGATGAATAAAATACCGGATCTTGCAGTTATTACTGAGAATTAGCAAGGCTCTGCAGCATGGTTCGGGAAGAGATAATCACATACTGGATCATAACCCCAAGGTTCGGTTTTCCTTGTTAAAAAGGCAGAAGTACAACTAGCACATAGGAGATTTTCAGCTGTCTTTGCACATATATGTAAAAATACATGGGCTATGCAGTCAGATTTTAAGTTCCCTGCTTTTTCTTTCTTCTTTTTCGCAGGCAAGAGGTGCGGATATCCCTGACATTCCAGGGGAGCTGCCGCTCCGGACCTGCGGCAGCACAGCAAGTATGAAAGTGAAGAATGTGAAAAAGTAAGAGCAGTGTTCTGTGATTTTCCTGTCATCTCTGGGCTTGCAGTTTTGATATCCCGGGTTTTAGCGATTGTGCTGCAATACAGCTGGGGCATTCGGCAACAAGTTTTGATAATATCTTCACCTGAGCAACCAAAATCCATGCGAAACAAAGTAAATTCTAGCTGATGTAGTGTATAACTGGGGGCACGTGAGGGTTTGGTGGCTCTCTCACCTGTTTCTGGCCACAGAATCAAAGCTTGTTAAGAGTTCTGAACCTCACTGTTACTGGATTTTTAAATTTCTGTGACTTCTTCCTGAAACGGATTAATTTAAAAAAAAAGAAAAGAACATATATATAAAAAAACCTAAAGAGAAGCCTAGGCAATGTGTAACTGAGATGATTTTCCCTGTCTCCCTGTACTCCGGGAAGCTAATCCAGGACAAGTGGGTGGCCTAAATATCTTTTTTTATTTGATATTTTTCCTCTTTTCCTTTTTTTTTTGTATTCTGCCCTGTACCTCTTCATTTGAATGGGTTTTGCACAATTTTTCTTTTTTAGGGGTATATTTTCTTCTCTGACCTCCCAGTTATTTTTTTTTTCTCTGTGGGCTTACACTGTCATTCTCTCTCTCTCTCTCTCTCTCTCATTCTCTCCCAGAGAATGTAAACCAACTTACTGTGCTTGCAGCTAAGGTTTCAGACCTCTAACCTGCAAAGGGGATCAAAATAATCAATATTACTTGACTTGTCTTTGCTAAGAACGCTGACTTGAGGACCAGAGCTCCCCAATATGGCTTGATTGGTGCATTCAGATCACCTCTCTGTAGTGCTCTGAGGCTGTAAGGGAAACGGCTCTTTGTTCTAGCGCTGAGCAGCCAGATGCTGCATCTCACTTCCCACTTGTATTCCCGTGGGAAGAGAGAGCTAGATAATGACAATCTCATTGGCTCGCCACCAGAAGTATCTATAGGAGTCTATAATAGCTTCAGCAGAAGCAAGAGCATGTTGCAGAGCCAGAGGATCTCCCCGTCAGCCATCGCTGTAGCTGGAGACACTTGGGAATAATTATGCCTCACTTTTGAATTTTAAAAAGGCAAAGGATAAATAGCGTTTGTTCTGCACCCTCAGATACATCAACCCGGGACTGATGGGCTGTGATGCCTTTCACAGGTAAAGTTCTACTTTCCTATGTGTCTCGTGTAAGGCTGTTTATTTGCACTGCAAAAATGCATTTGTAAAGGTAGAGCGGCTTGTCCCTGCACCATTTCTTAAAGATGTGGGCTTTGGTGTTGATGAAATGCCACTCAGTTCTTTAAGGATGCGATGATAAAAGCCACTTTGCAATTTAGTTTTCCTTTCTCAGTTCCTTTCTCCACTGTTTTGGTGCATCACATCTACAAACCCCTCTGTTCCCTTGGCTTTTAGGATGAGAAAGTCGTTGTTGTTTTATATCAGAAGCTGCATTTTATAACAGTACTTGATGCCGAGCATGGTTTCAGTGATTTGCATCTATCTCACAGTGTGCTTTTGATGTGCTTCAGGTTATCCTTTACAAAGGGTCATTTCCCGAAGATGGCTGAATGTGCACATTTCCATTATGAAAACGTGGACTTCGGCAACATACAGGTGAGTCTCTTTGATGTACAAAATGCCGCTGTGTTTGGCTACCAACTAACCTGGTGGGGGAGGCAGTAGGGGGGCCTCCACTAAGGTTTGCTTAGTTGCTTGCAAAATGTTTAGCGATAGGAAGTTAAAGCAATAGGGTCTCTTTATTCGGAATTGCTTCCATGTACCGGGCCAGAATCTGTCCTTGGCCACGTGGCCACCCCTTTGAGGTTGGAGATGATTTTATTTCCGCTGGATTGCACTGATGTCGCTGTTTTAAAACTGCATCAAACATTCATTATTGAGTCGTCTGTAATAACTGGATGTGTATTTTTAGCTCGTGTGTATGTGTGTATCTTTAAGCAATTGTGCGAACGTCTTTATGTAAATATAAATAATTCAAATTTATCCGTGCTTTTCATGTTATCTTAGCTGTGCATTGTGCATTGCAGCAGCTGTGTCATCAGAATACAAGAAATTGCTAGTCAGCCTGAGTTGCGCTTCTGGAAGTGCGGAGGCTTCACTCCTTTGTGATCCATCCATCAGAAATACAGGCAGAAGCATTTTTCATTGAGCAGGACCGGGGAGGGCTGAGAACCAAGAATCGCTGCTAGTTTCTCATAAACAGCGCACATCTTGTTCTGCACTTAGAGAAGCAGGAAGCCACCCAGCATCTGCCAGCCTTGTAGCCAAAAAGAGGTTACAACCTTTTCATTTGTAAAACATTTCCTGTAATATAGAGTGAATTATTTACAGCCTTTCATGTTTCCGTACTCGACGGTTTTGCAGGGAGAACTGTGCATCCGTTTTTTTCTGTCGCTGTAAAATTCCTGCAAAAAAATGCTGAGAAGGAGTTTGGGTCCTATTCAGGGCTCCTTTCTGCTGTTATTCACGCTCGGCGGCGCTCAGTAGGTCTGTTCTGCTGAGCATGGGATGGGTGTGCATTGGCGCACACACACACACAGAGGCAGGGCGAGACAGGCAAAGAGCGGGCTTAAGAGGACACCAGGGCCACAAGCTCAGCTCTTAACAAGGTCTCTGGAAGATGGGCTGCTGATGTAAACAGGAGCGGTCCTCAGTCTTTGGAATCAAAACTGTCTTTTCGGTTTCTGTGTATAGGAATAGCGTGGCTAATCTGTCTCTTTTTGCCTCCTGGTAACTTTCTGATTTGACACCGCTAATTTTTCCAGTCATTTTGGAGAGCAGTTTTATGTTGGCGTAGGTGTTGAGCAGGTTTCTGTGTACACACAGGTGTGTTTGGCATCGGGCAGTCCTCAGTTTCCCTTTCCATCACTCAGATGTTCAGCTCAATGTGCAAGCTAGAGAGAGATTACAGCCTTTGCATGGCACTGGTATTTAAAGCACTTTGAAGACAAATAATTGAATTCTTTAGTGGGTTTAAGCATTTCTTGGACTGTTTTAAGGATGGCAGGGCATACTTGTAGGACTGATACGCTGAGATTTTTGTCCTTGTGAGAGGGAGAAGCAAAATGAGGTAAGATATTCTTTACAGATTTTCTTCATGTTGTTCTGCCAGCGAACCTGAAGCATGTTCTGGTGGGAAGTTTCCCTGAGCAGGAGCTGTTAGCACTCATTTTGGTGGTGTCATTGCTGCGCCCACCGCTTCCCATGCTCCTGCTGGGTTGTCCTGGGTGCTGTTGCCCGCTGGCACCAACAGTCACCAACTGCTGTAACCAGAGGAGCTGACAGGCAGTAACTGGGGAAGGAGAGCTCAGGAAGAAAAGGTAACACTGGTTGTTCCGCCACGTCCAGCCCCTGAGCTGTTTTCTCCCAATGTCTGTGTTGTGAAGCCGGGAGGAGAATGGTGGATGCTGGCAGCATGGGAGGCACTGTCCTAAAAGTGGGGTTGTGCCTGTGCTGGGGGGGGGGGGGGTGTCAGCTCTCTGTTCCCACCACTGCTACCTCTGAAAAACTGCACACGCTTAAATATTCATGTACCTAAAGCAAAACACGTGCTTCAGTAAGGTGGATCGGGCCCTAAGTACCAGCTCCATGCCTCTTGCCCCTTCCTTCATCTAAGCAAGATTTCTAAGACAGATTCCCACAGTGCAATGACTTTGTAATACAGATAAAAATATTGTAAGGACAGAGCTTTGCTCCTGAAGTATCAAAGGGTAGGGAATTACAGCATTTGCTTAGTAGAAGACCAGTATTAATGGCAAAATAAATGAAAACTATTAATACAACAGCAGTATTAGTTTACAGACTTAAAAATAGGTTCATAGAGGGCTCATACATTTTAATCAAGTGGCATTCGTGTGTGGCTCCTTTGTGATAACAAGGTAAACCGGAGAATAGCAGTAGGCTGAAGTGACTTGGAAATGACAGCTTGGCACCTAATAGCGAGTTACTGAGTTGCATCTGAGGAGCAGTGGGTGTAAACTCCTTTCAAAATCTATTCACTGTTAAAAATTTGCATAGTAGAAATGCAGCATTATCTGGCTGTGTCAGGAATTGTGTAATGCTGTCTATTAACAGCCTGGCCAAATTTCAGATTGTTTTGTAACGTTTATGTCACTTATAATATGGTCTCATGGTGCAACCGGTATTAATATCTTGGCATTTCACCTTATGAGATCGTTTTAAATTAACTTTCTGAGATGTATAAAAAAGGATTTGTTCTCTTCTTATCCTGGCCCCATGCTAACAAAACTAGGTGCGTTTTGGGATGCTTTTTCCCTTCAGAAAAAGCTCTGCTATACCGCTTTCCACAGCAATGTATTTTAACCATATCTGCGTCTGGCCAGCACGACACACGTTGCATCAGCAGGAAATTGCTGGTTTACCAGGCAAAGGTAGATGTTGTCAAAGCTGTAGTTATAGGATGGGCTTTACAGATTGCATCAGTCAGAAATTCACTGGTATTTTGCTGAAATACCTTACATTTATCACTGCATTTATTTTTTAAGCCTACATCATTGATTTTTAATTTTACAGTGAAAAGCCAGGTTCTGCATAATAGATTTATTTTAGTCTAACATTGGAGAAACGTTTAGGACCTCGTTAGCAGGAACAGAACCATGGTTCAGCCTCGCTACGGTCTGTCTCTCCCAAACGAGACTTTGTTAGGCCATGCCTAGATGGTGATTGCTCAGCATCGGTTAGGTCGGTTCTGCTGGCTTCCTTCTCTCTGAAGCTCTGCTGCCTTTCCACGGTTCTTGGCTAATGTCTGCCTGCGATGCCTCTCCTCCCCTCTAGAACATCAAAACTCAATTCATGAATACACAGAGCAAGCGTTGCTTGCACACGTGTTGCTGTACAGGGCACCTCAGTGTTCAGTTAAGCACCGAAGCAGGGATTTGGAAGTTCTCAGCATCTCTTCCAGGTCTTTACATCAGAGCAGAAGGACTCACCATGCATTTAACTTCAGAAGTGCCTGAATCATCCCAATGTAACTTAAAATAATACGTTCACAATCAGTTTCTAAGGCAGCTTATTAAATTTAAGCATGATTTCAGGGTGTGCTAGCTGGAAAAGCTTCCTTAGGGGCTTGGGTTGTTCCAGCACCGTGCGGTGTACTGCAGGTAGCTGAACTAAGACGGAAAGAGTTGATGTGTCCACGTGAAACACTCCAGCATCTACCAGATGCTCGTTTGAGCTGAAGTTCAAGGCTCAGGCTAACCTGATTGCATGTTCCACTTTTTGTGTTTTAGCTGTGGAGCTGCTCAAGGTAACTCATTCACAGTTTGAGTGTCTCAGTACAGGGGTTGTGTCACAGCCTCGCTGCCTTTGGATCTGTAAGGCTTGTTAATACATAGGAATCAAACTACTTCACCAGTATCGCTAAGTTACACAAAAGTAGAACAGTTCCCCTCCTAACATGGTGCAAATGCGATTTTACTTCACTTTGTGCAATGTGCCATTAATATAAACAGGAGAAATAGTGATTAGGTGTTCTGTAAATACCTATTTCCTGCCAGAAATAAAGACTTTGTTCTTTACTTGAAAGAATTAAGAAATCATCTTTAGTTGAGTCGGTTTTAGTAATGGAATATGGAGAGCTGATCAGCTCTGCACTTTCCAAATCCTCTTTGCTCCCTGAAAAATGCATTGGCAAAGAGCAGAAGGCGCTGTAACCCACGTTCGTTATCACTTCCGCAGTCCCGCGTTGGACACGGGTTGATGCACGCTCTGGGTCTCTCTGTGTTTGCCTTCGTGTAGCTGCCTTCTAAAAATAAAACCCTGTTGGAAGAGGATTGGCTTATGGTGCATGGAAGATCCTCTCCTTATCTGTTAAGCCTTGGCATTGCAAGTGGCGGGAGCATGTTATCAGTGGTAAAGGAAGTATTTGAACCAGAATCACTTCCGCCTGCGGAGGCATCAGCTGCCAGGAATTCCTGTTAGGAACTCGGCCGTGCTGTGTGCTGTTTGCATGCCTTTGGCAAGCTGCAGCCTTCCAGCCGGGGTGATGGGCTGCGAGTCAATGGTGGCTGTGGTTTGTGCCTGGAACTGCGTTTTCCTGTTGTCTCTTAAGAGTTAGCAGCATCGCAAAGAGCAGTTCAGTTCTTCTCGTGCCTTTTGTCAGCAAAGCCTGCTGAGAAGATGTTTTGAGGGGTCATCTTTCTTTGGTTTGCCTTTTATCTTTTAGTTAATGATAATATTCCAGGGAAGGGGGTGCGGAGGGGAAGCGTGCTTGTGAAGGTGTCTCTTAATTATACAGTAAGGGGTTTTTTTCCTAAGGTGGATTGCAAAGGAAACAAAAATGGTAAAGCCTGACCAGAAGCCCTCCTCTGGAGTTAACTGGGGGAGTGTAAGATGTTTCTGTTGCAGCTAAAAGCAGTCCCCTGCACAGATCAGCTAGAAACGCCGGGAATGGAGGAGCGCTCCCTGCTCCGTCTGCGTGTGAAGTCGGATGGCTCAGCTCCTATCTCCTTCCATCAGTGACTTCAGACTAAGCCTGCTTGCTGCCTTCAGTGTAGGAGGGCTTCTTCGTTCCCCCAGCTCTTCTGTGGGCATGATAATTTCCAGGATCTTGGCAGTCATGAGCAGCTACAGGCTGT